TAAAAAGAGAAAACAGAATGAACTTGGATAATAAGTGGGTGAAATTATCATTTACAGTACCTCAGACCACAATATTCCAGTTGGGTATTTAGAGATTCTCTAGTCTTTCTTTCCATTTTATAGCATTTGAGAGCAAAACAGGATTGTTTCAGTGGTGTTAGAGCTCCCCTTCCCCAGGGGCACCTAAATGGTGTTACTTGAGTAAATCATGTGAGTGAGAAAGGCATCTTTGGGCCACAATTAAAATCTTCCAGAGTGTGTTGGCAAGTTTCCTTTCCCAGAGCCAGGGAAAGAAGGCACCATGTAGCCAACATCTTTTTTGGTCACATTTGGGAGTGGTTGTAGAGGTGACAAGCACAAACATGCTAAAGCCTGTATGTCTCTGTTCCACTGACTACAGTATTTCTGTTGTGCCTGGGGCCCAGGAAGCCTCTCTCTATGGCACAGCAATTCTCTCAAAACACAGAGAGAGCAAAGAATGTCAGAGTGAGGCAAAACTCCTGACAAGATAGGAAAGTTCAAATGGATTTGCTGCTACACACAGTTGCTGGTGAAAACTGCAAGCCAAACTAGTACACAGAAGTAACACCAACCTTTACACCAGTGCTCAGTAGTTTAGAGAGCTCCTTTTCCCATGTTCAGAAGAAAGCCACAACTCTGTAGTCCAGGCAGGCATTGCAGATTTCAGTTGCTTGTGACATTCCCAGTGACTCTGCACTAGTGTCTGCTGTCCTGTCTTTGACATCCAAGTCTTGTCCTTCATATACATCACATGTCCATCAGTGCTACCAATATTCCAGAAAGATCAAGCACCTAATTAAACTCCCTACAAGACTTCAGTTTTAAGAGGCTGTTAGTACAAGAAGGATCTTTCTCTGTGTTAAATCCAAACTGGTCCAGTCTTGCTGGGATGGTCACAGACTTCAGTCAAGGTTGCAAGTTGCAGAATAAGTAGCACTGGAAGTCCAGGAACCTCTCCTTCTCCCTTCATACAGTCTGATGCTTTAACTTCATGCACTCATGTTGTGACCAGAGTCCCAGTGACCCACACACAAAACATGTGTTGTGGCTTTTCTTAGGAAATAAAGAGCATTGTGCTAAGCAGGGACACTGCAGCCTCTGCCATACCCCCTGCTGCCAGGGCAGAGGGAAAAGACTCAAAGGGTGAAGTTCAGGGCAATCAGCTGATGTGGAAAACCAGGTCAGGCCAGGCTGATATAACCACATATCTATCAGTGCTGATACTCCATAAGTGGTGCCTAATGATGCTGGTAATTGCTTAGAGCTTATCTACATTTACAACTTTGGCACTTCCTCTCCCTTCAGGGCTACTTTTTCTGGTGTCTTACATGCACCACCTCATAGACCTCCTGTCTGTGATTGCATGGGCCACCCCACTGCAACCCCTCTCTCTCCACCTGTCTGCAGAACAAAGCAATGCTGGACACTGGCTGACAGAAGCTGAAAATGAATTTTTGATGTTAGCTGGAGAAAGCAGAGTCACTAATGATTCACAAACCATCCAGACCCTTCCCAAGAGTTTGACTTCACAATTCACTGAAGACTGTCACTGATTACAGCTGCTAGTGATTTTATTACATTTTTAAAATTTCAATATCTAATTAGAATAAACCCTCTAATTCTTCTATAATGCCAGCTTGAAAACAGCTTGGAGACTGTATTCTCTAATCAAAGGTAAAAAAAAATCAAATTTCTGAGTACGGAATTATAATGCAGGCTTCAGTGACTGCTCAGCACAGAAGCAGCAATACATGGTAACAGCCATGCTAAATGTTTACAATTCTTTTAACACACAAGCAAACCACCTAACACTTCAGAAAATAGTAATTTTTAACCACAGTCTTTGTCAAACTGCTGTACATTCTATAAACAGTTTCTGATGTTCTTGCCTTATTGAGCTACCACATGGAAACAAGCTCTTTGCTTTTCATAGGATGACTAAAAGGGGCTTTCTGTCAAGTTTTTTGTAGCAGTTACTATTAACAAATTATTACAGTTACATGCGTATGTGCACTGCATGAGGCTGCACATACACATCTCGGGTTTTGCAGCCTCCAGAAGTATAGTTACCTCTTATATTTGCCATCTCTTGATGTCTACAGAACAACCTGCTCCAGAAAGAACTGGCAATTTATAAGAACTGCTACTAATGTTTGTTGTCTGAGCAGAGTGCACTTAGCCAACATCCATCTCTTCTCATAACCTGTTGGCTTAACTGGCATCATACCTCCCAAAGTCAAGAACTAGGGAAAGGATAGTCTGGGATAGAACATACTCCTTCCAAACAGTCTGAAGGAGGACTGGGGAAGTATCCTCTTGCTTCCAACGCTACAGAAGTAGCTGGATGACTTAGTGGAGCTCAACCAGATGCCATCACCAAGCTCCCACCTCTGCTTTCTCTTGCAGTGCTGCTCATTAATTCCCCCTAGAAATCTTTTGATCTAACATGGTAACGAAGAAAACCAGGGCTCACATCCATCTTCTATTTAATTCCTTGTTCTCTCATCTGCTGGATATAGAGATGGTGGCTGTGTCCCCTGTCCACACTTTGTAACTCTGCAGCCATTGTTTTCCAAACAGCAGAACCCTCAGCCTATCTCTTCTGCTTGATCCTGTAGATGACAAAAAATTTACAGCAGGGCACAGACCTTCCAAGGAAGCAGTGGGCTCTAATTATTATTGTCAGTTATCTACTGCCACTCAAAACAAACAAAAATCTGATAAAAGCTAGGAGTAGTTTTGGATGGCCCACTCTGTGCTAATTCCCTACTGTCTGGCATTGCTTGCTCCTGTATAAGTGATAATGTAAATAGTGTGGATTAGAACATCAAGATGTGCATTAGCAATGAGAACCGACATCAAAAAATCAAAAAATTGCCTGCTTTACTCATATAATATATTAAAATATCAGTTCATGTAAATATAGATAGAAAATTTAACAATAAAGCTAATTAAAATTTCCAAAAGAATGGTATTTTTGTCCCAGTGCTTTAAGAAATGAGCACTCCTTTCTGGTACAAATTAATCAGACTATTACCTATTACACTATGTAGCAATAGTCAGGTAAATATTATTTCCCCTCTGTCTCCCTTCCAATGGAAAACAGGAATTACAGATTTGAACACAGATTCATTTTTTTCAGCTTCTACTTTTAAAAAATGAAGCTTCAATTTTTGACTGCATCATTGTTTTTAGACTGCTTTCTCAAGCAACCCATTTAAACTGGAATCTGGTAAAATGACACTAAAAATTATCTTTAACTTAGTATGTGGCCTAAGTAGAGACTTCTTTTCTGGCTTGGGGTGAACAGGAACAAATCTGTGTGTGTGCTGCTGAGACGGTTTTGGAGGTTTGTGGTAGCTTGTGCTCATGTCCACAATGCCAGCTTGGCTCATGCTCCAGGATTTCAGAACATATTCTATGGGATTCTCAAAAGCAAGAGTTAGTTTTGGTGCACATTGTCATTGTGGTACAGACTTTCCTACATCTTTCTTCAGTATTTTTCACTGCTTCTCTTTCAGAAATTTCTGACACAGCTCACTGTCACCTAGAAGACAGCTAAAGTGCTAGGTTTTAAAATTACACTTCTCAGGTAGCTAAAAGTTAACCATTCATTCTAAAACAGCAAGAAGGAATCAGAGTAAGTGCTGATCTCAACAACCTAGTTTGGTTCTCACTCTGTGGGCAAGGATGGTAAACTCTGGCTGACCTGTGCAAAAAAAAAAAAGTTCTGCCTTGGTGAAGGCTATGCTTCAACAATGGTAACATCAAAAAATTGTTCTCCTGATTCCTCAAAATATCAGTACTCACCATATTCTGTCAGTTTTGCCTTCTCATCAGCCTTAAATAATTCCATCTCCAGAGAATTATATTTTATCTAGACAGCCAACTCTACTAACCTTCCTGTAAATCACCTCAGTAATGGGAAAGAAAAATTTTTTAAGTTAGTAAACAGCACTACTTCAACATAGTGGAGACAGTGTGCCACTGGAATGTACTGACAAAAATTCCCTGGAGAAATTAAGTGACAGCAACTGGAAATCTAAAACAAGCACCCAAATAGCACGATTAGCAATCTGTAGTATTATTAGCACTACCTGATTCTGGATCCTAGGAAACTCTCCAAATAAGCTTAACATACTGTCTTTTCTTACCAAACAATGCCACAGAGAGAAAGAAAAAAAAAAAAAAAAACAACAATTTTTCACTCCTCAAATATCTCAAGACACTCAACTGTGTAAGAATTTGAAATATGCCAGCTGTTGCCTCTGTTTCTGGGTTTAAACAAAACATTTATCATGGACTCTCATCCTTTTATCATCTCACTGGTACGTCAGCAGCAAGACACTGAACAATGAACAGAAAGTATTCCAGGCATCTCAGAGCAGGCAGCATCACTGCCTCACACCATGCTATCCTTGGCTATGATGCCAGTCAAACTTCTCTGGAAACCCTGTTGATCTTTGTAACATTATGTCCAAAAAGTAGTGTTCCTCTGAGTGCAGAGGTGGTTCCAGTGTCTCTTCTTTTTGGAAAGAAAATGGAAATTCTGGGCATTCAAAATTAAATACAAACCTGGTTTGCCTACTTGAAACCATTTTAAATGCAGTCAGGAATCTACAGTTCATTTCAAAATAGTAGCTTCATTGCTAAAAACTCCTGACAACTCTCAAAGAAATAGGAATTCATCAATTCTGAAACATACACAAAAAGAGCGAATACAGCATGTGAAGTCTCTCTCAAATATCTCCTGATAATTATCAAGAATATTCAGCTTTTACTATTTGTTAGAAAATATATGAAATATCACATCTTGCCATGAAGTACTTGTGTCTTATGCTCTAAGTATTAACTATTAACTTATTTTAACTTACTCTACATAAGAGATCAGATAAAACAGACCCTACAATGGATACACAAAGGAATGAACACCAAGTAAAAGCTTGACAAAGCCAACAGGAATCAAAACCACCACAGACTGGCATTTTAGAAAGTGCTTTATTTCCCAGGTCTTTCTGCAACAGCTCATAAACATTATTTTTGTTTGCAAGATCAGAATAAACACCAGTGTACCACCAAAAGTATTAGCCTGTAGTTCATCTCTAAAAGATCTTACCTTACTAATGTTAATTATGCTGGCTGGCTTTATGGTACATTTTGTTAGCACCTGTCCCCAGTGAAATTTTTTCCATTTTTGCAGTTATTAGCTAATCTCACTAGCGATCTCTCATTTTGCAAAGGAGTTCAGAAGTCTGAAATAAGAGGAATGGAGACACTTTTGTTCATAGATTAAACTAGATGAATAAAAACATTTCACTATGAAAATGTCAATCCTTTTACAATTGCAAGTGATGACCCCTAGGTCACAGCTCCTGAAGATGCTAGATTTGGTTCCAGTGCAGTCAGTCTGCTTTTTTTTTTTTTTTAAGATGTCAAATTCACTTTGCCTGATCCAAGGACAAAATCTCAAGTTTATGGAATACTTCAGCACAAAATATTTTTTAGTAGCTATGGAACATGGATAATCATGGACTTTTCCAGAGCAGCAGGTAGCTAAAAAAAAAAAAAAGAATTCTTGTCCCTTTTATAAAACTTCAAAAGAAAAGAGAATTGCCATATGTGTTACTTCTATGGCCCTGACATGGGCAGAAAAGCTTAAAAAATAAATTATACAGCAAATAAACAGTAAGACAATAATCAATAGTGAGTGATACAATTGGAAGAAAATACTTGAAGTTACAATGACAATACTATTTTTTCCAAAGCTCATCTAATTAATTATCAAAGAAGTTCTTTTCATCCACCTGTTCATAAACAGTTTTATGGACAACTAACAATTTACCATGTTCCTTTTAACAGAGACTCTTCCCTTTATAGTGAAATGTGAAGAGAGAGGATGAAAAGAAAAGAATAGTTTAGCTAATATTAGGAAGCTATCCATCAATTTTATATTCCAGTGCCCCCATTACAAACCAGTAAGTGTGTCATGTCACCTAGTACCCTGTCTAGATACCCTCTGTGTCCAGTGACAGGTATTTTCCAAAGGTGGTGTAAGAAGATACCTATAAAACTTACCCTCTAAAGGAAGTTCCCATCTTATTCAGAAAAATAATCACTGGAAAGCACAAGAATATAAATCTCATTCCCAAAGTCTGCTTATTTCTTTTCCCAAAGTTAACAGCACTTTCACCAAAGATGCCACCTGCTCCAGCATCTGAAGGAATTCCTTCCTCTCCTTCTTCTGTGACCTTTGTGCTGAGGGAACTGCTTCACCTTCTTCCTTGCTCCTCTCTGCCATGCAGCGCTTTCCCTTTCTTACAGACACACAGAGGTGCCCCAGCTTCACTGATATGCTCAGCTGTGTCCTGTGGCAGGTCCATTGCAGAGCTGCCTGGAGCCAGCTGTGTCCTGCACGGGGCCACCCACAGGGCACCTGAACTCAATACAGAAGCACAAACTCAAAGTTGAGCATTAAGAACTTCCTGGCCATCTCCTGTGCTCTCTTTCAAGGCGTGCCCAAAGAGTCATTTTGTGGGGACACAGTGGGGCAGACCCACACACTGATCTGGACTCACAGCAATAACTTTGTACTGGTAAGGTGCTGGTGCACAAAGACACTGCTGTCATCAACACAGGTCTGCATTTGTGCTGATCTGTGTGGAGATGCAGGAGCAGAACCTGTGGCAGGTGCTTCCTCTGAGGACTTCTGGAGTGAAGGGGGCAGTGGAGCTCACCCCAGTATTTCCCACTCCTTAAGCAAAATGCAACGATATCTTACATTTCAATCATGTAAGAAATCAAACTCCAGCACAATAAAGCAAAAAGGAAACACCAAAACATGGGAAACTGAGGATAGAAAAATTTTTTAAAATGAGAAATTTGTTTCCGTGCTGCTCTGGGTATGAGAAAGAGGCAACAGGAGAAAAGCAGAAAAGTGGAAAATCAGAACATGTTAAAACGATTTTCCCACTCCCAAAAGCAATGAGTACAGTGGTAGGAGACAACAAAAAATAAGGCTAGGCCACTGAGAGGTAATTTTATGTCTTGTATTATGTGCAAAGCTAGAAATGCACTAGCACCTGACATGAAAAACCTGTACACCCAAGAAACTATTGTGAGGATATTGATTTTAAACTGGTAAAGTCCTCTTTCCACAGATCATCTGTTCTCAGTAGAAGTCAGATCAAGAAGGTTCCCACTTCCTCCATGACCTTCCACGTACAGAACACCTCAAATGCGATAACAGCTTTGTCAACAGCCAAAACCATGGAGTTTGCATTCAAAAGATAACCAGTGCACTGAAGATAAAAGCAAAATACATATTTACCATTCTAGCTTTTATTACATGTGAGGTCAGAGCATAAATAGTAACAAAATCAACAATTAAAAAGCAGTATATGAAAAAACATTCACCATCTAAAGTGAGCCATTTCAGCCATAAGAAATTGCAATCTTCAGTTGTAACTTAGAGGGCTTTTTATCTCCTGCAAGAAGTTTTTTGCAAACTTGTCTTCCTCTTCTGTTCTCTGCTCTGGTCTCTTGACAGTTATCTGGAGTACTCTCAGAGGTAAGTGATCCTGAGAAAACAGCAAATGAACTAAGAGATAAAAGTGGAAGACAAGGGAGAAACACCTGCACACTTCTAACAACTGAAGTGTCCTCTGGTAGAAACAAAATTTCCAATTCTCTCTCACATTTAATTTTAGCTTTAAAAGAAACAGCTATGCAAAAAAGTTAAATTTATGTAACTTAACAGTGATCTGACAAAGCAAAACTGAACTTAGATCTAGGATAGATTTTTAGGCCCAACTTGTGATTAATTTGCAGAAGCACTGTTAAACTGTGCTGTGGGGAGAAATTGAGATTTGTTTTCTTCTCACTGCTGACCAGTGTATTGTGTAAGGGCAATGCTATGTAAAGAGCAAGAATGCCTATTTTCACCATTATATTCTTCAGTTGCTTATTCCTTTTACCAGCTCCTATTCCTAAATTAAGGACACTTGAGGGTGACTGTTCTAAGCACTGCCAACTCTCTGTACATTTTCTACCAAGTTCTCATACACAGAGACTTCATCATCTCTTAAGCTGGAAAGCAGAATTCCACGAGCTATCCTTCAAGAGATTAATATCAGCAGCTTTACATTAGGCAGAAACACAAATGCAGCTGTTCTTGGGAGCTGGAAGATTTTTCTTCTGCTCAACAAGCACTGCAGAACACAGGGGCATAGCCTCAGAATTTGTCCCTAGCTCAGACAGAGCTCAGATTAAGATCAAACTCACAACAGAAGGCTCTCAGTTCATGAGACATGACTACTTTTGACACCGCTGGTATCACTAAGCCAATACAAATTCCATGCACAAAGAAAATTCACCACATCTAGAACCGATGTGACCGATGTTAATCAACAAAAGGTGGTTTGCAGCTATAGCTACTCACATGCTGTCAAGTGACCAGGTAGATTATGCAAATGAAAAAGTGCCCTCATGTGATGGGACAGGTCTTAACTACGGATTCTGGTGTTAGATGCAAGACACTGAACACAGCACAGATGGAAGATCACCTACAGAGGAAGAAAAGTGCCAAACCTTTCAGGCTCTGAGCATGGTGGTTTTGAGGGGTAGTTTGGAATGCTTCATGTTCTGGATAAAAAGAAAAAAAAGTGAAAATGCTTTGGTTATTTTAGGTTATTAAAGGGTTACAAATATACAACATTATTAAGTTAAAACTGACTCTGTAAAAAGTGTATCTCTGAAAGGACTCTGGATAGAAGCTCTCTGCTCTTTCTTTATAAAACAAGCTTTCATTTACTTTAATAAAATGCACAGAGACAATAAAAAGATCAAGGAGGTGCCACTGGCCTACAGTTTCAATATGACATGCAAAGATGGCAATGTATAAATGAGTATTAACATTTTGGGACACACTCATAAAAACATGGAGATCTGTCCAAACACTAGGCATTTTGTTGAGCAGACTAGAGAGAGTCAGCAATAATACTAATATTCTGAAAAGGAACATTTACTTTTATTCTCTATTGGAAAATCCTCTTCCTCCCACCAAAGAAAGTGCATTACACAGAAGTCATGTCATCAAACTTCAATCTCCTCTGTTTCATTCCTGCAGGTCCTGTCATAAGATCTTACACACCTTCATGCTCTCCATGTTCCTTGAAGGCTTGTAGAACTTCTTGAGTGGGCAAGCAGAAAGAACAGCTATGTCAGCAGAAAGACAATCACTGTTTGTCAAGGCTGCTTTCAGGACTAGCACAGAGAATGTTAGTCTGGCACAAGGACACTGGGACTGAACTCCCTCTCTCACTGATCTGCCAACGCACACCTCTGTTTCTGGCTCTCCTACTGCCATTTGATTGCCACACCCAATTATGTTTTAAATAGTATCTACAGACAGAAACTGTTCTCCAAAGAGCAGAAATATTCCTATGATCTTCCCTGGAGCCATTGTCAACACTTGACCAATGGAGAGAGTTGAAATGTTTACAGTAATTTAGTGGCAGTTTATGCTGTATTGACATTGTCCTGCTATAGAAACCCAAGTACATTAGACAAATGTCCAAATGGCAGATCCAATAGTATGTAAGCTTTTGCTCTCTAGGTCCTTCTTAGTGAGGACCCAGAAATCAACTCTTATGAAAGCACTATACTACAAACAGATTTTCATGATGAGCCATATCAATCCCTGTTAGAAAAAAGATCAGGAAGAGTGAGAAATTTAATTTGCTTAGAACAGCATGCTCTTGTTTAAACAGGCAGAATGTCATTAACAGAAGCCAGTACATGCCAAATGACCAACTGAGCTGCGCTGCAGAGAGTGAAGGATGATTGTAGTAAAAACATGAATTCCAATTACCCACATTAATGGATCGGATTACATGTGCCCTAAAATATCTGCATCATTTAACCACAGATAAGTGTAATTAAAATGGTATTAAAGAATTGTGTGCAAACAACTAAAGTCATGTCTCCATTTTATTTTGAGGCACATACATCTATATATGTATGTGATGTATTTTAAAAATACTAAGTATCCAAAGGTAACCTGTGTGAGGGGCTATCATATATATATATATGCTTTTTGCTTCTATCTATCAGAGGCTAACAGATTATTGATGAGAATTACTCTCACAGCTCCTATTTTCCTGTCCAGGGAAGACTCCTTAGGACAAGGACAGTCAGTACTTGCCCTCATAAAGCTTTCCATGCTTTTAAAACCCCTTCTGTACAAGAACAGGATGGGGTCCTAGTTGACAAACATGTACTAGTAGTTTATATGATACAGCAGTACTATTTATAATCACTTCTTTGAAGACTCTCCTGTCTTCAAAGTTCAAATCCCTTCAGTTCAAATCCCTTCAGAAAATAAACATTTGTCATGTGCATCAGAAATGGAATGGGATACTAAGATGTAAGAGCTTATATTGGAAAAAAATCACATGCACCGACACACTCCTGTTATTTGCTCTTCCCTCCTTTCCCCCCCAAATCATACCTTAGCTGCTGTTGTTGGATAGGCCAGCTGGAGAGCTTCTGACCTAAAAAATCAACACCACCTGTTTTACACAAGGTTTGTTTCATTCATTAATGAGGTGCATTGTTTTGGGGAGAAGATAATTGTTACTGATGGGATATGTTCTGAAGTCTGTTCCTACAAGAGCTTTGTTCAGAAAGGCAAGGCAGATCAAAGATGAATTTCTCATCAGAGACCCATAAAGAGCAGTAACTTTCCCCAGCACCATCCTCAGCTGTATCATACTTTCTATCCCTAATGGAACAGATTCTACCTACCTAAACATCTGAGAACCTATCTGCTTGAATAGGCTTAGGCAAGAAAATTGCACTTTTGCCAACAGATGGACAACTAACAGGCATCTACTATCCACAGCCAAATCAGGAATTCAAGTGGTATGAAAGAGGCCAGCCCTAAGAGCTGGCAGAAACCATCCTTTCCTCCTTGTTTTATCAAATCCTTTCAATTGCTGTGAATGTAAATGGTCTGTGAAACAGGGCTCCTTCATACTCATCCCAGTAATGATGATAAAACCCTAAGCAGGCAAGTAAAAAACCTTAATGCAATTTAAAGGAACATATGTACTTATGATTGTGGGGAAGGAGGGAGAAAAACTGATGGGGCAATGCTCACCAGTGTTTACCTGTGCTATGAACTCAGCAGCTCCTTCTACAGTCCAACAGAGAAACACTGAGAATTGGAGGGCCTGAGGACATGGGATTTCTGTGGAAGCCTTAATAAGTGTGAAGAAAGAGACATTTGGGCAGATACTGAGCTGCTGTCAGTGGGATGAGAAAAGCAGCAGGTTAATTCAGTTGGAAAAAAAAAAAAGGCTTGTTTGCTTTGGTAACAGGTAAAGAAAAAGAGTCTACAGCCCTGGGTTGAAGCTCCAAGAGGAGTTTTTTCCTCATATCAGAAGCTAAGAATGGGCACCTCAGACTATGGGGAGTAATTTATCTGCCTCTGGTGCTTACCAAAACTCAAGCAGCTTTTCTGTTTTCAAGGGCAGGGCAGGCTTCCCTTCTCTTCATATCTTTAAATTCCTACCATGAACTCACACTATCCACTACTGGCATAGAGAAGACTATGGATAGACTCAGGAACTGCACTGAGCCTTTGGGCTCTCAACCCCAAAACTCCCCAGGCACAGTCCTCATCAGCCCTCCCAGCAGGATTCTTGATTTCAGAAATTTCTTCCACCTGAAGCTGTCTTATTTGATCTTCACCTTCCCTAAAATCCTCTGCCCTGAAAGAGCTCTTGCATTTCTCCCCATGAGCCTCCCATAGCCACAAAACAGACCACTACTTTAAAAGAACAAGTAGTTTACATTTGAATAGGAATATTATACATTAAGTTACTATAGAAAAAAAAAATAGATATACACATACATACACAGACACTTGTGCCTCTAAATTTTGTGGAAACTGCAATAATTTTGTACCACGAAAAGCACTCATTACCAGTATTGGTTTCCATCCAAGAGGCCTCCAGCCTTGAATGAGAGCTACAGATGTGTACCTTTTTACACCTTCTATACATTTTACCAAAGGTTTTCTTTGCATGCACATACAGAAGCACATCTCTTCCTGTAAAGCAACCTATCACTCTTACAGACAACCAACAACAAGGAAAACTGGAGAATCAGTTGTTCATTTACAGTACTGTTGAAGGTCAGGAATTCTAGGTTTGCAAAGTAAGTGCTTGCACACAACAACCACAAGAAAACAAAGTAAACAACTGCAATTCCAACACAAAGTAATAACCAAGTACTTTGCAATCAAGCTACATAGATTACTCTGAAAAATCAGATTTGAGTACTCTATTTAAACAACTTTAACCATTGAACGTGGCAGCATTTACTTCTGGTTTTTTTTCAGATACACAACAGTCTTCTCTGTAAAATGTAGGTGGATATTAGTAAACAAAGGCATTAAATCAAATATAGAGACTGGTCATAGGAGTGAGCTCATGTTCCTCCTTCAGCAACATGCACAAAACAAATGTAAAACACACTTTGAAAAAGAATTATTATATTAAATTAAAATAAATGACAGAGTAATAAACTGAAACATGTATCTGGAAGACAAAGAACTGAAATTCTGTGAAAATGAAGAAAACTGAAGTGTTGACTCAAGAATCATTTAAAAATGTGAGTATTGACTCAAGAATCATTTAAAATAAATTTTCCAATACACAGAATAATAGAATTTCAAGTCTAATCCCCAGCTTTTAAAAACAACTAATTATTTATTGCTTCTTTAAAATTCTTCCAACTTTTTTCTTCTATTGTTTTTAGAGTACCATGCAAATCAGGATAGAATACAAAATTCATTTCAGAACCTGCAGTTCAAGATGGACTAAAAGAGTGTTTTCTCCAGCTGTGAGCACTAGGTCAAAACCTGAAATGCCACCAGAAATACTGTGCAGCACAGGATGAGACTGTAGCTCATGGTGGAAAGAACCATGTTAAAACCAGAACTGTTAATGAGGGAACTAAGCAAGAACTGATGGAAATATAACTTGACTTTCCTTAAGCTTTTACTCCAGTCACAAATGTACTGTCTGCTTTGAAGAGAACTAAAACTGAAATAACCTCTCGCTGGTAATCTTTAGCTGTAATTTATTCTTTTCAAAAGAAGAATTCTCAACAATGAGGAAAAAAAGTCTCAAAAAAAGAGCAATATAGGGAAAGAGAATATAAGTTGGAATGCAATAGTTTAAACTTAAAGATAAGCTGGCCATGATAGAATTATTGAACACAGCAGCATGGAAGGAGGTACCCATTCTGGTATGCAGTTTTTGAGCTGGAAAAGAGAAGGGGATTGCTGTGTGAGTGCTCCAGAACTAACATTGCAGCAGACAACATCCATCTGAGAGATATTTTGACAATTAGCAAAACAACCTACCAAAAAATCAACCAACAAACAAATAAAGCAAGATTAAAAACCTCAACCAAATAAATAAAGGCCACAGGTGAATCTTGTGGGATTTTTCCTACCCAGGAATGAATAAAGCCTACCATAAAACAAGTCAGTGTAGATACTAAATATTAGAGGCTAAATATTAGAGGCTCCGAAAAAACTGGAGATTTTTTTAATGCACTTGCATGATAAAATACTGGCTCTTATTTAATAAGAGCATAATCTTGTTGGAAAATTCTAATGGGAGATAACCTGTAAACATTAGCTTTAAACAAATAATGTTTACAATGTTAGTTAACCTCAGAGAAGTTAATATATGTTAAGACTAAGATATAGCACCTAACAGATTTTGCACATAAAGGCATTTGGAACACAAGTTCAATGTAAGGCTTTTGAAAGATTTAGCTTTAAATACTCAAAACAAAATGAAAAAATAATTTTAAATGGCCACTGTTTAGAAGATGTTTGTGAATGCTTGAATGTAAGGTAAAGTAACAATTTTAAAATGTTAATATTTTGGTTCATATAATATTCACAACACTTTCTTCTCTACATAAATTAACTAATAATTTTCCAGGTGTACTTTCTTTGTTTTCAAGTCTGAAAAAGAGAGAAGTCCTCACACTGAATTCTTCCATAGCATGCAGAAAACAAACCTATTTTATGATACAGCTCTCAACTACATAGCAGGAACTAAGGAAGGCTCCTATTTCTGTATACAAACTACTCTGAATGTTGCTCTAGGCATTCAACATCTGAAGCAAACAGTGCAATTGCTTAACTTGATATCTATGTTGTTAACAGTTTCACTTCATTTACAGCTTTAAATTGATTCCAAGTTATTGGTAGGTGCGATTTTTTTTCTAAAGGAAGTGTCTGTCACACATTACACAGCTCAGTGCTTGTCACTTACTATGGCTTTAACTCAAATATTACTATACCTTAATTTTTATCACATTCAATTTTCTAAAGATTCCTGGCAATTATTTTAATTGTATGGATCACATAAGTCTTAGAATAAGTCACTTTTGAAAAAGATTAGTTTGTTTTCTGAATGTTGTGGTGACAGCATACTTGGACATACTGCTTTGATTACTTCCTTTGTTTTCTTGAGCTTCTCTTTGTTAGGAATGTGTTCACAAGCCCTACATACCACACAACAGCAGGTTTTGCTGATATGATCACATTTGTCTGAGCTGATCACATTTGTCTGAGCTGATAGCTTTAAGTGCACAAAGCAAGAGGTAGATAAGCTGAAATGGCAGAATCAATCACTGTCCATGAGAAAGACTCCTACATTTAGTTGTTATGACCAACTGCAATTACAGTACTGCTGCAAAGGAAGGCTGCATGCATCAATGAACCTCATTATAAAGCCAGAACTTAAGTTCAAAGATGTCAAGTCAAAAACATTCACTGTTACAATTCACACACTTTTCTTTATCATACAACGCTTATGTTCACCTGGAAACCTCACCTTTCTCCTCTCCTTGATCTTCACACCATTAACATTATGATCAGGTCAAAGTTGCATTTTCTTAAGCATCCATGTCCTTTATCACTTTAGCATCCTGGACCTTCCTTTTGTCACAAAACCATTGCCATACTAATCCACTTTGCTGCTGGATTCTGTGATCTTGGAGCTGACAGATTCTATGGTCTCTGTAGTACAATAAAAGTCAAGGGTCTCAAGCAGAAAATGTGAACCCAGGATTGTGATCCACATTCTAAAGCTAAGGAATTAAATTGTGGAAGACCTTCAGAAACAATGAACAAAATGGGCCATTTGGAGAGAATCCAAATTACTCAAAACTTGAAACAGAAAAGAGAGGTGGTGTTCTATGGGGCAACTGAATGACCTGGAGTTGGCAGTGAGCCACATGAGTCAAACCAAAACAGCTTTCTGTCAGAAATACTCTAAAATATGCTTAGTCTGAATGTCATATACAATTAAAAAAGAATGGCAGTACTTTGAGAGCACCTGCCTTTCCTTCCAAGACATTTAGAGTTCTCCAATTTGAAAAATCCTTCCAGGCTTCACAGGTGAAGGCGAAGAACTATGGTGAGGAACTGTGGCAGTCTCTGATTTTATCTGCTTCCATAGACAATGCAATGTCTCTTGGTTCTTGTTTAACTTGGCTCACACAAGTAACAACACCCTCTGTATTTTCTTCAGCTTAAAAACAAAACAAAAATCATACATTGAAGTTCAAACTCCATTGATAATCTTTCAGCCCCAATAACTGTGCATTTAAAAGAAAAAATATTTCAGGAACTCAAGTTCCTAGTTAAGTTAATAGTTAAGGCATATATGAAGTTTACTGCTTTTTAGCTTGATAGCCAGTTATGTCACCTACTGTGCTCTAAAACATTGCAAGATGACATGAACTTACTCCAGTAAGGCTCCCCTTGAGTAACAATATTTAAACCAATTTATAAAAGAAAAAAAAATAAAATGTTTGGAGATATCCCTTTCACAAAAAACATCTTTCCCCTTTCCCACAGAAAAAAAACCAAAAAAACACCTAATTAGAATTGTCTGAAAGAAGTCTGTCTTGGAGTTCCCCACTATCAACACATTTGTCTCCTTTCTTCAAGACAGAACAAAATCCACTGTATTTTCTCTATTCTAATATTAACATATTATTGAGAAAACGACAACTTACTAAGTGCTGGCTGGCTGTCCACAATCCGTACTGGAATAGTCTGCACATCTCCCAAGAGAATCTGCTGAGCTCCTCCTTCCAGGCTTCTGGAGTCATCCACCCCTTCAGCAGGTACCAGCTGGCCCATGGCAACCAGACTCTGATCAGAGCCAGGCAGAGCCCCAAAAGCAGGCGCAGCAGCACTGTCCCGTGTTAGGCCAGCACCTGCTTGCAGACTGTGCCCCTGACTCAGTGCTAGAGAATGGCTGCCTACTGCACCCCCCAGGGAATCCAGGAGACCTGCAGGGCTGGGAGGGGAATGGTTATTTACAGCTAGCAGGGCTGTTGATCCATTTGCCGAGGTAAATGCTGACTGCAGCTGTAATCCCTGTGAAAGAGAAGGCAGAAGTACCAACCTAGCAGCATTTATAGCAGAAGGAGTTTGCATTTAACAGAATGTATTGTCTAGGTGGCTTCTGACTTCATACTCATTAACTCTTCTGAACACTCAATCCCAGCAACTCTAGGCTCAAAATGTACTTGAAAACAATTAGGACAATGGAATCCAGCAGCATTTAGAGATTGCTTATGACCATAAAGCTCTAATTTTGGATTGATGTTCAGTTTCAGATCATTCCCCAGTACTGCCCTTTCCCACAAGAGGTGGGTACAACAAGCTAAGCACACTGCTTTAAATAAAATTATGTGAGATGGAATCAGGCTGTCCCCAGAAAGAGAAGAAACAGCAAGTAGAACAGAATCTTACTACAAATCATATTTCTAGGGAAAAGATCATGCATTTTGTTGGGATTCAGGAAATATGAAGGCAGGTTTTCAAAGCAGTTAAGGAAGAGGGTTAAGAGAACCAGCTTTGAAGGGAGATGAGCTTTAGAAGCAGCTCTTTTAGCATGACATTCTTGTCCCTCCCTCTTCAGCCTTTCAATCTGCAAGTTTACAGCTCTGAGCTAGGAGCAGTTTCAGGATTTTAAGATATTTTCTTAAGAGGCTGGAGAAGGATTTAAAAGGAATAAACAAGACTGTCTTATCTCCCTGCAGTTTTGCAGCAGCATTTTCATTATGAAATTACTGGACCGTGTGGAAAATGAACAGGTACTTGGTTTGAGGTAGAAACCCACTGCTTTTATCCTCTTGGTTTTGCCTTCACAAGAGACCCTAACTTCAAAGTGCCAAAAGATGGTAGTGGGATCCCCTGCACCACAGCTATATGCTAAATGTGACATGCAAGAGCAACCAGAGTAAGAGCTGACAGCTACTTCCAAGTCTGTGTTACCCAGCTGCGTTTGGGATCTGCTGAGAGGGAACTTGCTGTTCTCAGCTCACCTCCAGCACTTCCAGCACAGCATGTTTGATGTTCTGTAAATGACTTGACTGTACCTGAAGCTGTGCAAATATCTTGGGCTGAAGTGAAGAGAGTGAAGACAACAGCTGAGCTGTTTCTGGTATCAAGGACTCCCCGCTCTGGTTGGATTCTGCTTTGGTGATGACTGACTCTGCTCCTGAGCTCCCTATGATGCCAAAGTGAGGAAGCAGACAGTTATGACAAATCTCTTCTTCCTGTTTAATAAAAGCCTCCCCTGTGAACCAAACTCCCTTCAGTCTCAATACAGAAGACATGTATATAACATACATATATGCTGTTCTCTTTGCAGAAATTGGATGCTAAAGAAAGAAGACTGGGTATGACAAAAAGACAATACTGCAGGAAGTTTGTATGTATCTGTACAGAGCAAAAACCAGAGGCACCAATAAATCTGTTATTGAGAGCAAAGTAATTGCACCCTACAACTGTGCTTTGAATTTGTAGTCATAGCATAAAAGGTGAAACATTTCTAGCAAAGCAGCAAATAATTTGACAATATCTATACCTGAGTAAGGGCTTAAAAACACACAGGTATCAAAAGAAAGGGTTGTCTTTCAAAATAAAAATCTACACAGGAAATTTTATATGTCTCACCACTCCCTTCCCATCTTTGTGAAATTAGCATAACTTCTATGCAATATCATCTAAAGTCCTTTTATCTGGAGGTCTTTCAGCCTACAGATTATATAATATCCTCAAACTTCTTATTTAATGCAAGAATGATGCACTTCATTTCCTGAAGTTTAGCAAAAACTGAGACTTGCTTATAACAATTTCTGCAAGAAAACTTCTCATGAGATCATTCCATTTCCTGTTTGAGCCACACAGAACATTTTGGTTAAGCTTTATGCAGACACACACAGACAGTGCTCAGCTTCCTATTTCTCAGTTCCACTGTTGTGGAGGTAATAGAAGAACTTGCCCTGTGAATGCAGATTAGTCTGGTGAATGTAAAAAATCGAAAATGGTCAATTGCAAAACATTTTCTACCAGAAAATCACAGGAAAATTTTCCAGCAATCTGAGTGGAGGTAGATTTTTCAACATACATAATGATCTGCAGACTCTTAACTATCACAACTGACCAGAAGACACATACAAACCTACAAATCTTCTTGAACACAAGTACTTCAAATGTTTAGAGTCTTTTGAATATAATACAGAGATCCCATATGCATATGTGAATGTTCATATGCAGGAAGAGATAGCAGTTCTCTCGCTGGGTTGTATTCTACAGCAACACCCTTGGGAAAAAAGGTTATAGTTCAACTCCTCCTCTACTTGTTATGAACAAAGTCTTATCAAATGGAGATAGGGAGTTCTGCACAAACAAGTTCTGTTACTGCCTGATTTCTTAAATGTACAGTTGTCTCCATTTGGCACAAGTTGAAATTAAAACAAATATGTAGGTTAAAACATAGATTTTTCCATACATATGTGTTGAAATTAAAACAAATATGTATACAGTTCATATAAAAGTCATCCTTGATGAGCTCTGCCACACTGTTGAAGGCACAACTATTCTGTGTCTCTCCATAAAAACACAGTAATGGCAATATTAACGTAGGCATGCAAGCTTAAGTACAGTAAGTCTGTTCACATTGCAAATTTATTTTTTTCTGAAAAAACAAGACTTCCTTTAAAAAGAGGGACACTGTTCAAGCTGAGTTTAAAATTTAACCTCTTGCTCTCTCAAAGTGTAAACACTGTAATTCTTCCCTAAAAGCACCAAGAATACATAATGCTTTTCAGTTCAAATTAATCCATTGCAGCAACATCCAAAATAAGTTAAAAAATCCCAAACGAAACAGAGCCCAAACATTGCCTTTTTCTAACAGTAAATGCACTGGTGTACATGGAACTGCTTCACACGAATCAGGTTCACCATGTCGTTGAGGAGAACTTATGCAGTGAGCCAAATCTCTGGGGGGTTTATATTTCCTGCTACAACAAGTAAGAAATTGGCCCATGTTACTCCCTGACCTAAGGGGAAAGGGACACAAACACATCAGGACTTCTTCAGGCAAGAGCCAAAGGATAACTGTTGACACAAGTAAACCCTGACCATGACAACTACAGCAGTGCCCCTTTGGTCCCTGTGAACTTCTCTATCAGCTGTCTAGAACAAAATGCACCCCACCACTATGATTGAGTTAGATGGGGAAACCAGCTGGCTCTGCTGCTGAGACAAAAACCATCTGCAAAGTCTGCAGCATGATCTGAACATGTGCACACAAAGTCTGCAGCATGATCTGAACATGTGCACACTCTCCCAGCTCACTTCAGTCATATCCCTGCTAAAAGCCAGGTATAGCTCTGATGAGTTTCACATCAAACCTATTACACAGAGGATGGGGAAAGCATCTACAAACATGAGGAAAAGTTCTTTTTGTGTCACACTAGACAAAATATTCTTGAACCAGGGGTGGGAAGGGCAGAGTAATCTAATTTAAATTTATTACCAGCCACCATAATCCAACAGAACATCTTAGCCCAAGTGTAATTCTAACTATGTGGGTAGCAAGTAGATCTAGTTACAAACACCTGTATTTTGTCTGAGTACATGTTTTGAAGTTGAAGTAATAGCAGTAAGAACCCAGTTTCAACAAAGGAAAACTTGCATAACATCTTCAAAAAAACCAGTCCTTCAACCAAGAATGCATAAATTTATAGAGAAATCTACCATATCTACACTCTAGTTTTGCAACAGACTGGGAAGAAGTTTAACACTTTGTGGCTCAACAAGCACTGGGAAGAGATGATACTTAGGTACCACATTAATAAAGAAGTTACATCACAAAGAACTGAAGAAACACATCTCTCAGCCCTGCTGCCATTTAACACCCATATATCTATTTCTGTTCTAAGTATCAAGGAAAAGTGGAAAAGATTGCTTTCAATTCCAACAACAGAAACACAATGCTTGCTGTTCAGTGCCGGATCCTAGCACTGGAACTCATCAGGACAATGACTTTTGAGAAGCAGGAGTCTCAAAGTGCATTGAAGTTCCTTTCAGCAAGACATTTAAAGATATGTGAAGCACAAACCACCTGGAAACTCAAGTACCCTGCTGGATTCTAGTATTGTGTCCCCTGACAGACATATCTGTTCAGTAGTAACTTTATTCTCCCTAAAGAGGTATTATTAGCACCTTCATCCAATGTAAAATGCCCTTTCCAGACAACCATCCCACTAAAATTTTTGTTTGCTTGAAGATGCTCAATAAAAGCCAAATTTATAATTTTAACACTTCTATCACACATGCAGTCAAATAGAAAAAAATAAAAAGTAAACCAAAATAGTTATAGCAAAATAATCCTTCTTAAGTTCACCTGAGTGACAGGACATGACAGCAACCTCCTGGGAAGGAAAATTAACTTCTGTGACATAGCTAATAAAACACATTTGGAGACACAGGTTATACAGTTATGCAGTCCTACCATCTGAAGGTGGTGAGGCAAACGCAACAGTCACTGTTTCTGTGAGGACATTCCCACTGTCTGTGGTCCACTGCAGCTGAAAGGAAAAAGAACTCAGGTCTCAGAAAGGGTGCAAGCTTGTCTACAGGAACACAGGCTCAATACAGGACTGATAAGAAAACAGTGCATAAAGCTACATTTTCTTATTTTTTTATAATTATGCATTTTAGGACCACTTGACTCACAAAAAAAAATACCGTAAAAGATTTTAAAATATGCACTGTGTATCAGGAAGATTATCTGCTTTATCTGCCCGTAACAGTTAAACAGACTTTAAAATAGAAAATAGTCAAACCATTTGGCTAACTAACAAGCACACTCACTCACCTGGGCTACACTAATGTAGGGAGAGGGAAAAGACTGATAACACAGCATGATTTAACAGTATCGTATGTCAAAGCTGATTTTAAACCAGCCATTTCTTAGCAGTTAATCTCATAACTGGGAAAAGTAGGATCACTGTGTACCCTTTATTACTCAATACATGGAAGAAAATTAAGGAACAAGATTTAAGAGTTACTGAGCGTTCACAAGATTCAACTCCAACCACACTGCACTTACTATAAAGTGCATTTATTAGTATTTGCACATTCAAAATGTTTATTAAGTCTTAATTTAGACGGCACCTGAAACACACTTCACCCCTATTTTTTCAGCTACTGAAAAGTAGTAGTAACTTCTTCAAAACATAGACAGTGACAAAGCCATGAATAAAATTTTATGTCACATGTCAATTTTTCTACACCAATGGCTTTCAGTTCATGCAGTCATCAAGAAGTGCTAATATAGTGTAATTTGTCAACCAATTAACAGCAATCTAATGCTGATGAGATAAATACTGAATAAGGTCAGAAGGTTTTATTCACATTTGATCCAGTCTTACCCAGCCACAGATTTCACTGAAAATATTGCTGCTGCAAATATAAAGTCACGGAATATTTTGGATTAAATACAGCTACGTGGTAAAAATTAAGATTTCCAGTATTTAACTCCAAAAATCAACAAGATACACAAAGGCCAACATACCGTTGCTGGGATACTTTCTGAATTATACACCATCTCTCCATTCCTTAGGGACTTCTGCACTTCATGAATGTGGTTCTTGATGTCATTCACAGTGGGGAAGAAGGACAGGTTATGTCTTTCTGGCACTTCATCAGGTGTGAACAATTCTCTTTCCACATACTTTCTGTCATATGTTAAAGGACATTTATTACCATACTTAAATATATTCCACTATTTCCCAGTGTTAAGAGACCTTTCTACCTTCTCCCTCCCCTTGTTGCAATGACAAGACAAAAGTAAGCTAGATGATCTACTGAGCCAGTTCTTTGTGCATTGGCTACAGCATTTGGAATTTAAAACCCCCATTTATTCAAGTAACTTTAAAGAGTACAGCAGCTCTTAATGGCTATCTACAATGATATGAAAAGATATCAAAAGCTGGGAAAAACTGACTTACGACATCTGGGAATTAGATTTAGTAATGCACCAGCACTGCCCTTTAGCTGCAAACCAAATTAATCAAACACCAAAGTAGATATAGCACTACAGACCGAGCACTGCAGACAGTTCTGTACCTTAGTTGCTTCCTCACGGCATAGACCTGCTCTACTCCCTGAGACACCAGCTCTCGGATCTTGTCTGCCACTTGAGGATGAAGTCGAGAAGGCAGAGTACTGTTCTCATCTCTAATGACTTCCTCCTCCTCCTCAGGAGAAGGCATAGAAAGATGGGATGGTGAAGGAGGGAGGCAGGAAGTTTCCATTTCATGATATTGGTGGGCTTGCTGAGTAGGTAACTGTACATACCACCTAGCAAGAAGGAGAGAAGTTATACACACAATTCTCAAACAAAGGCAAAAAATTTGTATCTTGGGGGAACAGTCTGAGAACTACCAACAACCTAGTCAGTGTGACAAGTTTTTACAGCCCCTGAGCAAGAAGATGTCTTTCAGACATCAGGGCCCTCTCACACCTTTCAATGCAAAACCAACTAGATCAACCCTAAAACAATACAACTATTTCTATCAATACCCTGCATGGAAACACTGGCTGAAGCTCCATAGCTTAGCGCTTAACACATCTACCAAATTTATACTTCACTGCCACAGAAGTCTTACTGACATTGTGGATTTTTATTAATAAGTGACTAAGTTTAAAAAAAAAATCAAGTAAAATACCGCTCTTTTCCGCTTCATTTGTGAAAATAAAGAAAAAAGTGGAAGTTTCACCTGAGGACACCACCAGCATCTATCAAGTTCTTCTTCAGCATGTTGAATGCTTTCTCCTGCTCCATTCTTATGATTTTCTTGTCAATTTTAGGGTCAGTAGGAACCCTGTATTCTGGAAACTTTTGGACCTTTTTAATATAGATCCTTCCAAGGAGGAATAAAAAAAATTCTCCATCAGTACACTTTGTCCTTGGGAAGGGAAAGGCAAAAATCCCACTTTATATCAGGCATTAATATAGAAAAAGTTCAAGCAGAGTGATGTCAGGTGTGAGGAGTCTAAAAGAACTGCAAAATTATTAAGGATACATTAATAGATATGGATGCAGACAGACACACTTCTGTTCTGGTCTGGAAGCCACTCAGCCAGAGTGATTTTACTCCTCAACAAAAGCCCTCGTCCCTCACTATAGAAAAAGCACAACACCAATTGTGAACAGGCTGCAGTTCACTCAGCTATGCAGAATTGAACACATACAGACCTAGCTGCAACTATCATCAAACACACTCTTAGCTCAGTAAAAACTGAACAAGCACCCAGGAGAATGCTCAAGGGTGAGGAAAAAAACCTTTAGTGTTGAAGAAGGAGAAAATCCCCAGTGAACAGGAAGAACTGTAACTCCTTCAGCACACAGGACATGCGCTAAATTAGGATGATTGATTGATATCAGTGCAATTAAAAGCCTGAAGAAGAAACAACAAGTAAGATGACAAAGTTTTAGAAGCAGAAATAGTCACTAAAGGACACCACAATAACTTGTGAATGCTCAGGTAGATAATGGATTCCACTTGTATTTCATAGAGCGATGTACTGCTATTTTGCATTCAGGGAACCTATCAAATTTCAGCCTTAGTCAGTCAGACAGGACAGCATTTCCTCCTTACCTCTAAATGAGTACCAACCTCAAGTTATCAAGGAGATAAAGCAGAAGAGCTACTGTGAGTACCAGCTACCATCCCAACAGTCAGACAGGACAGCATTTCCTCCTTACCTCTAAATGAGTACCATACTGCTTTATCAAGGAGATAAAGAAGAAGAGCTACTGTGACCAGTGCTCTGTCATGGCTCACAGAAAGAATGCTTTCTTAGGATGCTCAGTCACTCTTACAGCTTTATATATAATTCTTACCTTGCTGGACAAGTGGCTTTGTACAGCTGGCTAGAGGTGCTTTCCTGCTCACCAGCTTTTTTGGGCTGAAATCCTTTCCTCCTTGGGCCATATTGGCACTCCATTACAATGGCTCTGCTTCCTGGAAACAGAAAGTAATGCACTCTGTTCAAGCAACCACTTAATTCATTACAGTAAAATACTAACTACAGAAGAGATAAGAGTTGTGAAGCAGTCCTTTCTGTTTGCCATCAGACTCTTCAGAAGGCAGAACCCTCAGGTATGGCAAGCAAATACAATGCAAATGCTTCTCTCCCAGCATGTAAGAACATAGAGCACTTTAAACCATTTCTCAAACTTATTACACCTCACAGCACTCCTCAACATATGTGAGGACAAAATATTGGACTTTGCCCTGGTGAGCACCAATACTTTACAAGATGAGAAGTCTTGCAAGTTACCAAAGGACCACAATACTGGTAATAAACATAAAAAGCAGAACTCCCAAAACAATGGAGAAAATCCCCAGCTGAAACCAAGGTGGGATGGTTTTGGCTGGGATAGAGTTAAATTTCTTCACAGTAGCCAGTGTGAAGATGTGCTCTGGATTTGTGCTGGAAACGGTGCTGATAACACAGGGGTGTTTAGTTACTGCAGAGCAGGGCTTACACAGAGTCAAGGTCTTTTCTGCCTCTCACCCCACCCCACCAATGAGGAGATTGAGGGACACAAGAAACTGGGAGGGGACACAGCTGGGACAGCTGACCCAAAATGACCAAAGTCATATTCCATGTCATATGGCATCATGTGCAGCATATAGAGGCAAGGGGAGGAGGAAGGTGGGGGAACATTCAAAGTTATAGTGTTTGTCTTCCCAAGTAACCCAGCACAAATGCTGTCCTGGGCATGGGAAGTTGTGAATGAATTCTTTGCTTTGCTTGTGTGCGTGGATTTTTCTTTACCTTTTAAACAGTTCCTATCTCAGCCTATGAGTTTTCTCACTTATACCTTTCCAATTCTCCCCCCATCCCACTGGGGGAATGAGTGAGCAGCTCTGTGGTGATTTCCAGCTGGGGTCATACCACGAGACAAAGTCAGCAGACATTTCCAGCCTCTTGGCTTAAATCAATACTTCAGACCATGCTGTCCATAAAAGCTCAGCCTTGCAGTTAAGAAATCTTAACTGCTAAATAACACAGTTTCAGCACAGCACACCCAAACAAAACCAGACAAGCTCAAACAAATATTGCTTTGCTCTAAACTCAAATTAAGTGACTTCTTCCAGTCAGACCTCTAACAAAAGGGATTGACAAGCAAAGCATTAAAGGTCAAGAAAGGAACATTCAAAATTTCTTCCACATCACATTTAATTATCTTTTATTTATAGTTTGTGTACTCAAGTATGCATGCAAGGAGCTGCCTATGCCACAAGTGATATACCCAGAAGCTTCTGAAATATTATAACAGCAACATAATGTGTTTCTATAAGATCCCAAAATATCTAGATGAAACTAAAGATGGCTCATATGCATGTTGGGAAAAAAAAAAAAGGTAAGTTACTTTGATTTAATTCTTAGTTTTCTTTTATGTCACAGTTTACGGCTGAAGCTTTAAAACTGGTGCTAAAATTCCCCTTTTTTTAGTAACTTTCAGGGGAAAAAAGAAGAAAAAACCCCAAACATAACTTACATTCCTGTCACCCATTTTCTCTATGTAGCAAGTAAAGCTCATTCATTTTATATCCAAATTAAACTCTTGGCAATTTCACATATGTAATGCATGAGCTAGGTATGTAATTACCAAGCTGTGAAGTCTGCATGAACATTTCAAAAAGAACCCCAAGCACCAAAAGTCTGTCCGCTGGAGTCTGCTGATGTTTATCTTGCTTTTTAGGCATCTTGAATTTATTTATTTATTACTTTAATGTTTGCAATTTAAATAGTTTATTGACTCCTGAGGAACAAACTCTTCTAAAGATCTTCAAGTTAGGCACGAATAATCGAACAAGCTCTCACCTTTACGAGGGCTTTCACATCTTAATAGAGCAGATGGGACCTTTCCCTAAAGACCTCATCACAAGAACCCCCATCAAATGATACTTAGCTAATCTCTAAAGAACAAAGGGAAATAATCACAGCAAAACATAAAAAAGGAAACAAGCTCCTTCAGACTCTCACAGCAGTGTGCAAGCTGCTCCTTTTTTTATGTTTGTGTCTTGACCTTATCTTGAACTAAAGAACAACATAAAGATTCTTCTTTGTGGCCAGCTGGGAGCTGATGTTGAAATTTTGAAAGCAGTGATTAAAATAAAAGTTAGTTACCTGCATTGACAAAGGGGATCCCATCATATGGGACATACTGAGATTTCCACATCAACCGTGTGGCGGGTTTGGCTGGGCTTGGAGACTGGCGCGTCCCCCACACGCTCTGTGTCTGCTGCTTGTGGAGCGTGAGAACGCTCTCTAACTCTGCCTCGCTCACACAATAGCCGCGGTACGAGTCCCCAATTCTCTGCATGGAAAGGACGGGAAATAATAGGATTATTCACCCATCTGACTGCTCAACACTACACGAGGAAATGAAAGCAGTCAGGGACTCTGGCAGGTGAGAACACAGGCCCAGATTTTTGGCATTCCATGCTTTTCGGGGATTCCCCACAGTAGTATACTCATAAAGAGATTTATCATAGGATCTAACAGAAGAGCAGTCCCCACTGAGGTCAGGAGTTTTCAACCATCCAAAACCCTAAGAACACCAAGAACTCCTGAAAAGGTTACAGTGACTGTCAACTCTGATTTCCTGAGGACAACTTCACTCCTGTGGTTTACCCCCAACACACACATCAGTTGCAGTCACTCACTAGACAAATTCGTATTAGATGAAGTTTTTCACTTGACTGCCATAGAGGATCTCTGAATCACTAATAATTGTCTCTCCATCTACTGCAACACACACACTGCACTGAGCTGGAACAGAATGCACCTGCCCATACCACCAGTAACTCTCATCTACTTAGTGCACTAACTCTGAACTGAATGTCTGACACAACATCCCTCCCAACCTTCAAGGCAACTCTTGATTCTCAGCATTACACAGAAACATACTATACCAGATTTGCCATGGGCAAACTGATGATGGTTTCAATGAACTCTGCTAATGTCTGGGCAAATCCACAAAAACTGCATCTAACTTGACTCAAAGAAGTTTTCCAGCTACTCAGTAGTTGCTACTCCAGCTACTCAGTAGTTATCCAGCTACTCAGTTCCATCACTGTTGTTTCAGTGCTGGTCTGCAAAGGCCAACCAACAAGCAACAAAATTACGGGAACAGAGAAGAACTTTTCATCCAAACTCAGAATGCAACATTTGCTTCTGTTCATATGCAGTTGAAGGTAGGCTGGCCAAGCAGCTGTAACAGCCAGCTCAGTCTTAAAGTGTGGGACAAACACACGGTGAATGAGTACTAAGGTCTGATAGATTTGTTTTGCCACCTTCAGTGACAGAACAGCCGGATGTTTAAATAAATACTGACAGCAAAAGAGCAACAGTGTCTCTCCAAGATTATCACACAGATACCTTAGCAGCATCTGCTTAAAACCTACCTCACACTCATCTAAGCGAAACAGAATGTCTGAGGTTAGCAAGACCTAAAGTCAACAATGAAGATCTTGTGAATGAACTGGGCCAGCACAGTGCTGCTGCTGGTGCACGGACACGGAGGGCTCTGTGTGCACTGGGTGTGAGTCACTTGGACACGAGCTGTTCACACCTCAGAGCTCACTGCTCTGCAGGCACTGCTGCAGCAGCTAAGCAGGTCTGCACAGCCTGCACTCACACGGCTGTGGGAGCAACAGACATTGGCAATTGTTTAGCTAGAAGTTATAAACAATACTTCTGAACAAAACTTGAGAAGCAAAGTAGCCTGAGACGTACCAGAACTTGTTTCTTTCCAGAAGTCTGCGATGTTGCCTTTTGGAAGAGGGATTACAGCACCACTGCACATAACAAATGCTGCAAAACCAGCTGGGCTTTTTTCCCATACCTTACACCTGTCACTAAAAATAGGTCATTGATCTTATTCTAGAGAGATGAGAAGACTGACAAAACCATTGTAACAGAAAAGTAGCAAAAACAGTTAAGGAACTCTCTCCTGTTCTGGCTTTTGCACAAGTTAGATAATTTTCCCTAAACAGGTGGAAGGGGAGGAGGAGGACAAGAAGAAAACCAAACAGCATGTAAGTTCCCTGCTTTCTACAGGCTTTACAACTAGGAAAAAAATGGACAAAGAAGACTACCTTCTTCAGACAAATAAATTAACTTAATTTTGTACAGTTAATTAATGCAGTTTTAAATTACATTTTATTTCAGTAGGCTGATACATGCAGGAAATGCATTCTGACCAGACCACTGAAAACTAAATATAAGTTATTGAAATTACCTGTTTAAATTAACTCTGTAACAATGTAATTACCTTGAAGTAATCACATATTCTTCAGCCCTTTAACTCCAAGGTTCAAGCAAAAAAATTTAGTGATTCCTTCTTTCTCCCCTGGCCTTGCCTTAGCAAAGTACATAAAAGCTAACCTTAAAGTACACACACCAAGACTGCCGTTTTCCTTGAGGAAACTCACAGCAGCAGGGTACCAGAGGCACTTTGCAGTCCAGACACAGCAAGTGTAAGCTGAACATTTCAAGGCAGTCAGCTTTTATTGCTCTGTGTTTGCCCACAGTATCAACTGCCAGAGGAGTCACTGGCCTTTGGAATGCAGTGGCTTCACCTGCTGATACCTTGTGCAAGTCACAGAGACCACAATACTGTTTTAATCTTGTTTCAATTCTGGAAGACAACTGAAAAAGTGGAGTTGTAAGCTGATATATTTACCAGCATCTCTCCAAACTGGATCTCCAAATTTCAGTAGGACCCTTTAGTTCTGTTACTAGTAACAAAACATTTTGTCACCTGAAAGACAATTGACGCCTCAAAAAAAATTCCAGCATCTCTGGTCTGTGCCCAAAAAAAGGCACAATACCTCCCAGCACTCTCTGGTGGATCAGGGAGGATTAATGCACACAGGCAACAGCTCTGCTGAACAGCAGGGGGAGATATTTGTGTCCTCAGAACATATTCAAAGAGACATTATTTCTATTTCCTTTTCTTTAAAAATAAGAACTTTTCTATAAATGTCACTATGAATTTTAAACACAGCAGGTGAAATTTCTTTTAACAGAGAGACAAAGCAGACCCTAAGTCCCCCGAAAATATGATACAAATAATAAATAATTCAGATAAGCCACATACAGGAAAGAATGTACCACATAGTGCTAAAAACACAGTGAACTTTATGAACTAACTGGCCAACTGAATTAAGCAGCTGATTCTACAAAAATGGTATCTCCACCATGGAAGAATTCATGCTAAGAATTTTATGACTTCTTAACATTTATGTGGACATAAGAGTGGACAGTACCACCTGTATTAAATGAATGGCATAACACAAAAGGAATAGATGAATATATTTAATTTTAAAATTGTTTCTAAGCAGATACAGAAAGAAATTCAATTCCTAGGTCCCTCAAACTGCAACTTCTAGTTATCAGTGGCCAAGACAATAGAAAAAAAAAAAAAAGTGGTAGATATATTAGAGATATCTAAAGAGATTAGGCAGCTACAGAGTATGAGCTTTCCTTTTAAAAAGTATTAAGAGAAAGTAAAATAAATATCTGTCAGGAAGAGTCTGGCAGCAGGAGGAAGGGGTAGCTGATCTCAAAAAACTTCACATCTCCCCTCCCTTCCTGTTAAGGGACGTATGACGCACTCTAGCTGCTGATAGCATCCTAGTCATCAGGACAGTTCTGCAAACATCTAACAATATGCAAAAAGGAAGAGTTCTGTTTAAGTCAAAAGCCATCACAGAACATAAAGACACAGTATTTTTTAACAAAAGAGGAAACAAGCACAAGTGACCTAACTTGCTGGGACAAAAAATAAAAATCAGCAATAATATCTAAAATAGGAATCCTTAGTGAAATATTGATATTAGGGTGCATTGAGTCTCAGACTTGACACTGGTCAATCACATGGATTTTGATTTCTATGTGATAACACAAACCACATGAACAGCTGCAGAAGTCGGCAAAGTTTGCACTGTTGGTCAACAGCAAACCCTAACATGGCATACAACTCTTCCCAGCACTACAAGGTATCAGGTTTTCAGCAACACTTCTTTTAAATCAGGAAAATTTGATGGTCAGTTATTCTAAAATTCTCAAAATAGAGAGGGATTTCTCAACATTTTAAGTGTTTAACTGTGCTAGCAGTACCAGTGCTATATACCAAGAAGCTTGGACACTTCTACAGCTATGAATTATCTCTTTCAAGGAACAGGAACACTATCTCAGAGCTAGATGATAAAACATTAAGTCAGAATTCTTTGTGGCCCACCTCACAGCTCCTGAGACGGCGTGCCCATGCAGGCGTATTTAGTGGCAATGGCTGAAGAGGGATGGGAAAAGAATCTTCCACTACCCTGAAAAAAAAAAAAATAGAAGTCTATACAGAGATTCAGAAAAGCAACAACTTGGTCTAAACTACAGGTAAGATCAAATCAGTGTATTATGTATAACCCTAGAGCATATGATCAAACTATGGATATTGTATCAACATGCCTTAAAAACCTGTGGTTTTCATGTTCATATTCTATTTCATTGTTAAAATAATTTACAGTGAGTAAAAACATTAAAAAAAACCCACTGGTTTCTACATTCAAGTCCTCCAAACATTCAGTACACTGTGGGTTCATAACCTCTTTTCCGTGGTAACTTTGTGATCTCCATTGCAAAAACAAACTGCAAGAAAAAAAGGCAGTGCTAGCAGTGGATCAAAGTGATTGTTCATCCCTTTAACCCCTGACCTACCTGGTGGTTGTTTTTTTTGATACGGTGAGAGATGCCTGTGGATGTAGAATGTAACTGCTTGCGCTGTCTGCTATGGAAGCCACCACCACAGTCTGCAGGTTCCCATCACCACACTTCTCTTCTGAAATATCTTAAACAAAAAAAAGCAGCTTCCTGGTTAATAACTGAATGTAGAATGGGGAAAACAAGCTATGATTAAACTTTATGTGTTGTTAAAGCAAGCCTTTTGACGTAGGAAAGGAGTTTTATAGATGATAAAGCAGTCTAATAGTTCTGAATCAGTGCTCAAACTCCTGGCACACATATGAAAATACACTTGATAAGGCTGCTTGTATTTAAGGACTTTGGTAATTGTGCTACTGCTTATGAATCCTTCCACAACAAGGCAAATAATCAAAACAACTTGCAAATTACCCTGCTTCCAGGAATCCATACAGGATTGCACAAGTATTTTGTTCAGCTGCAAGTCACATACTGGTTGCTTTTAAAACAAGAAAAAAATGATGTAATGATACTGTGTTGTACTTAGAAAAGAACACTTAAACAAGAAAAACAGGCCTCTTGTAATTGAATCTGACATGCTGTTAGAACAAATGTTTTAGCCTTTCTTGGTAATAGGGAGCAATCCACAAGCCAAAAATTGCTCTTAGATTGAAGCCTGTGGGTACAGTTAAACAAAAACATAATGGAAAACTGTGAAAGCAGACGTTCAATATTTTGGTCTCAACATAAACACAGGTCTCTTTAGATGAGGTCTCTTTAGATGAGGGATTTTTGCCCTTCAGTTATGAAAGCTTCTTTCCCTCATCCAGAGAGAGTGGTAAGCTATTGACAGAGAACAGAAATGGATCCACACAAAGCTCCATAAGAAGATTCCTAAGTGTGCACTTGGATTAACACCACTCTGGCTCAAAGCACTGGTTCCTCCTACAGAGACATGCCCTTAAGACACTACAGGCTACTCTGAAGTCTGCACCATTCCATGCATTACCACCATGTGCAGGCAAGTGAAACTCAGGAGCTGACAGGCCACTCTCCTTTCTCTTTCACCTCCACAGTAAACTGCTGACTAGTCACCCCAACTGTCTTTTAAAGACCAAATCACTACAAAGTCTTTTACACAGTCAGTCTCTAGAAAAAAACAACAAAAAAAACCCTGTATGACAAAATGACACCTGTAGTACTGTTGTACAACATGTATTCAAATACTACGACACTGAGCCTCACGTTGAATAAAAAATGGAAATGCAAAACCTTAGTATTTCCACTTAGTGCTTACAAAGAGAAGCAGCAATTATTTTGCAACTAAAGGTTGCCAGTTGGCTTTAAATTAATGTAAGATCCTGCTGTAACCAAGCCTAGTTTTACCCCTGCAAGAGCTGGAGAGGGAGGGAAGGTTGAGAATTAGGGTAGGAGCAAGTCTTTCAATGCAAGGTCAGGAAAACCTACTGCAACCCTAAGTGAAAAGAGCTAGATCACTACTTGAATGCCAAATCTTTCTTCTATTCACCCAGCACCAGGCCTCTATTCTTATTCTGAGCTATCATTCCACAGGAACACTTCACCAGTGCTCAAATCTTGAGAACTTTATAGAGAGAGTGAAAAAACAGTTTTAAAAACATTTGAGAATTTAACCAAATGTGACCACCTCATTCTCAGTCTCACTCTGTGAATGCAACCTAGTACACAGTGTTTTACCATCCAGCAAGGATTGCAGATAAATAATCAGTGCTTTCAAATTTCAGTATGCCCATTTTCCAGAGAAAACCTTAAAATTTGAGTTTCTAGTTTTGTATCTCAGCACACGCTTAAAATGTGACAACTAACACATTTCAATGAATGGAAAGTTACATCTTATTTTCCTTGATTGGGAACTGAATTTCTACCTAAATGATTAATTCCTGGCTTCACAGAAGATGCATCATCACCAGTGATCTCTGGAACAGAAGATTTAATGTTCTTCTGGCCTGTCTGCACTACAGGAATTTACTTCATTCACAATGAAGTAAACAAATACTGAAAATTTGATAGTACAGCTGATGACAGAAACAGAAATATCCTTATTAAAGGTAAAGAAGGCAAGAAACAACTCTGTGCTTGATATCTATCCATCACATACCCTTCAGAAAGGGGGCATAATAGCTCTCATAAGCTTTCATAAGGCCTTTGGCCAACAGAAAATGTGGTGTGTGAAGCACCAGATTCACAATCAGAAAGCAGATTCAGGGTGTATTTTGTCTTATAACTAAGGAAAGGAAACAAGGTACTTTAAAAAGACCATGGAGGATGAGCTTAGTCACAGGAGCACAAACCCTCAAGTCCCACAGGTTAAACTCACCCTGCGTGCTGGTCACATCCAGAAGCTGACCTGGAGGAATAATCACTTGAGTCACTCCTGGCTGGGCAGAAGGAATGACATGCAGCACCTGTCCATTTTCTGACTGGCTGGCAACAATCATCTGTAAGGCAATCACACAGAAGCATGAACATCTCTATTTTGTATGGTGATTATGCAGCATGACTGGCTTTGATTATTACCAGAACAGGAAATATTTTGGTTAGAGTTAAGGCCTGTATATTTACTTGACTTTACATAATAAGAAAACTGTCTCTTTATTGTCAATTTCTTAAAATTGCTTTCCCCTTTTAAAATAGGCCTTTAATTAAAGAAAGAAAAAAAACAAACAACGAGTACTTTACCTAATTCTACAATGAATTACACATTTATTTGAAACTGACAACTCTATTATTAGACACAAACACCTGAAAGCCATTCATAGTTGGATTTGCTGTCACTCCATTCATGGACTAGCAGAACTAATAGTAACATGAAAATGGTGACCTTTACTTCAAAGAAACTGACCTCTATGGGCAGCAATTCATGCAAAAGCAGAGAGAAGAAAAGCTCCAAGGCTTAAAAAAACAAGACAAATTAAATCACCTGGGATTCTGAAAAACTTGAACAACTCCTTATGGTATATTTATATAGGAGATAATTATGCAGGACTCTGGGTGAGAGAGTTACCTTTCTTACAAAGCAGATGTTACAAATTAAAAAGCAATGTTTTAAGAAAATTAATTGAGGGCTGGGGGAAAGTGAAACATAATGACTTATCTTACTGCTAATGTTCTGATTCCCCCCAAAAAACAAGAGATTTATCCATAGAGAAAGCAGCAGCAGTAGAAAAACAAGACCTTATCACACTGCAGCATCCAGGCTCAATACTGACAAAAAACATCAGTTTAAATTTAGTAATGGCTGCAGAAAGGATTTGCCTACCTGAAGAAGAACAACTGGAGCATGAACTGTGCCACTGAAAAGTTCCACTTTGTTGCTAGAGATAAAGTCTGAATCACTGAATCAGCTGTTGCTACAACAAACCACCATGTCAGAGAGTTCTTCAAAGAGCTCCCTGACCTGTGAACACAGCCCCAGGCCCGTCTGCAGACACACTCACCATGGGTGCACTGGGCCCTCGCAGCGGCTGCAGCTCACACAGGGGCTGCCTGGGCTGCTCTGCCAGGTGGAATTCCTCGGCAGAGTGGGACCGTGGCTGGGGCGGCCGCGCCGGCACAGCCGATGCGGGAGGACTGCCCGAGAGGGGCACTGTGATGGGCAGGGCGGGGGGAGAGTCGCTCTGGCCAAACAATAGATCCCTGGAATCCATGCACGTTAGTTGCTTTCACAGAGGAAAAACAGTAAAATGTACTTTGAGCAGCAACTTCTACAAAGAAAAAAAAAAAAAAAAAAAAAAGAAAGAGAAAAGAACATTTAAAACCAGTGTGCCATAGTGTATACTCAGAGGAGCTCTTGTCCTTCTGGATCAAGAGGCTAACACTAGCAGTTCTACTTTTGTTTTCTATTTCCATGCTGAAAATTATTCATATTCCTGCTTTCTAGAAAAAAGTCTCTCTACTAAGACAAAACAAAATCCCTTTTGCTCAAAATCTGCTCCCCAAAACCATCACTTTAAAACACCTCAAGTCTGCCCAGAAACTGAGAAGACTTATACCAAAAACAAAATTGCAAAATATTCACCAACTTGATTTGACTTCAGAAGAAATCCTAGATACTATCCACTTGGCCTTTCCATACATGCATTTAGCTATGAAATAAAAATGTATGGAATTTTAAAAATTCTTTAAAAAACTAAAAATTCTTTACCACAGAAGAACCACAAGCAAGACAACCTCCAATTCAAGGCCAAGAATTGTACAACATACGGCCAAGAAAGAGATTTTCAAAATCTTAAAAAAATATAGTGTATCTTCATCAAGTTTGCAGAACCAAAGTCTTAGAGTACATGCTATTTTTATTAAATTCAAGAGCACAGGCACAAATGTCTTGTTGAAAATCTGACAACACAAACATTAAGCATGTAAAAATAATGGAAAAATAGGCAGTCCTTGTGTACAATAACACGTCAAGGTGTCATTTGGCCAATGCAAGAAGGGCTGCAATTTGTTGTATTTCTCGCAGCAACTGCACAAACAACTCTGACATTTTTTGTGACAAAAATTAATATACTACAAACCAAAGAATGAGGAAAAGCGTTTCTAAATTTTATCTAAAGTCAGACTTGATCTAAATACCCCATGAAAAACTCTGCAGGTATAAATACTCTGACAGCTGAAACTGTCTACTGTGAACTACACCAGAAAAGCAGCACCAAACAAATGGCACCCGTTGTGTTAAAGACATTGTGCAGAGACCATAAGCACACAAGTAAATCACTACCTTGATTTGAAATGACATTTTATGTTAGAAAAACATTCTGCAGAAGAGCAGTCATGCACAGAAATCTCCCCAAATAAGAAGATCTGGCAATATCTGATAAAAAATACATGAAAGACTCCTCTCCCTCAGTACATACACAGGTGTCCTCTGTCCCTGGACTTATTATTTGTCACATTTGGTCACTAAGCAATGCCACCTCATTTTCACCTGTTCTGAACCTCTCCTACTCCAACGTATGCCATAAAGCATTCTTTTTTAAAGGGCTAACAAAATAAAACATGCATTTCTTCAGCACTGTAGCAGGATATAATTACTGAATGCTGTCATTACATGTAACATCTGTTCAAAACTTAATGGCACAGGAATCCAAGGGAAGAATGCACATTCTTAAAAGACACAAAACTCTAAAGGCAAGAAAAAAACCCCTGCATTGATGAAATAGCATATTTTAAACTCATCAGAGTGGATGTAAAGGAAGCATCTACAAGGACAAAGCATTCATACCTCACCTGAAATACCTGATCATTTGTTTCTGACTCTCCTGCACCATTACAGCTGCCTATGAACAAATCATTAGATCCTTCCATAGCAATATCATGGTCAGCTCCACTCTCTTCCATTACAAGGTGACCTGAAAAGGTTATAAAAGTTCATTTTAGCCTTCTGCCAGGAGATTGCCACAGGTGTTGTCTTCAGGTCTTACAAATTAAATGTTACAAGTTCTAATGCTGTTTCAAGATAACAGCAAAGTTCTCAAGAAATCCTTGCCTCCTTATCACATTATTACTCACTGCAGAAAAATTCCAGTGTGTTGCTCCACGAGTACTGCTTAGCCTTTTATATGAGACAATTTGCCTGACTTGTCATTGCATACACAGATACAAAACACACATACACCCTCCCACGATTTTCATCTGAATATGTCCAAAAGCACTGAACTAACAACCACACACATGCAGAGAACACTTGATATTTAAGCACATGCCAGCAGTGCTTTATAAATACATTAGTCACCTTCTTCCATAATCACCAGACAGAATTTGCATTATGCAACTCTGTCGTGCAGACATCTTGAAGTAAATCAATTTGTTTTAAAGGCTTATAAGACAGCATATAAAAGAAATAAAATTACTATTGTTAGTCTACAGTTATATGCTTTGGGCAGAAAAAAAACACCAGATATGTAAAACAAAATTTGGCATTAATGCCGTGGTGAAAGACAAAAAGACAGAGTTCCCAGCACTTCAGAGATCTACCTCCTATCCCAAAGGAAGCTTCAAGATACTCAGCTGCCCATCACAAACCTTCAAACAGACAGATAATATTGGACAGTGAATTGCCACATCCACAGGACAATGCTCTCAGGCACACAGCACACTCTTGAAAGCAGCGACCAATCCCAAACATTCACAAGCAGCAGGACAAAATTACAATGAACTTGGCCCCTTCCTAACAAGAGTTTACATATATAAGAGTACACACACAACATACCCAAGTGAATAGAAGAAAACTCAACTTCTGTAGTTTGGGGTGAAGGAGGGGGAAGGGTGGTCACGATTTTTCCCTTCAGTATTTTATTTTAAAGACAGGCTGCATTATATTAGCACATGACTCCTACCAGCTGCATCTTCTTCACCACACCACGCAAGTAAATTCCTCAAGATGGACCTTCTTGGCTGTGGTATTTCAACTGTTTACAGCTTTTGCAAGGAGACTGTAAAAGGCTAGAGAGTAACTTCGAAAGAACTGTACAACTCTTAAAGCACAGATTTTTTCTGCTTTGCAAAGGTATAAAGGACACAAAGGCAAAGTAAACCCACATCTCCTTGGCTTTTGAAGCTGAATAAAGCATCCTGCTGATACAAACACCATTGAGAAGTTAAGCAGCTCATATGCTCAATATATTAATACTTTAATCTAAAGCAGATGTATTTTTCCATTCAATTTTCAAGTGATGACACTCCAGACCAAGTTCCAAATGAAGTTACCTCATGTTTACCAAATATTTTTGAGCTTTGGGTCTGAGAACAATTATAAGATGTTTCAGTTAAAATGTCTGAAGCATCTTAGCAGCAAATGGAAAAAAAAAAAAACCCCAACAAACATAAAACTAGATTTCATCAACACTCAACCACTTCCTCTCAGTTCAAAGATGTAAAGAAGGGACAGCAGTTTTACAAAAGCAGCACATTTAGTTCTTTGAGATAAACTGAGTTTGTTCCAGACACTGATAACACGTACTCTGAACATGCTGGAACCCATCAACAGAACACAAGGACAGCTCTATAGGGACAGACCAATGACCCCAGAAGCCCAACATCCTGTATCTAACAATAGTTAATAACAAAGCTCAGGGAAAAAAAAAATCCATCAGAAAGGTGATATTTATCCAGCTTCCTTTCATAAGCAACCCAGAAATACCTGAAGTTTTATATCTGTGTTTAAAATAATCCCCATGGTACAATTTTGCCCCATGATTTCATCTAATCACTGTTGTAATGCAGGCAAACCAGTGGCACACACATCACTTGGAAAATCAACTTCATGGTTTAACCATCCAGGTTTCATTAACCTAAGTGCTTGTGTGCAACCACAGAGATTATTATTTTTTTTCTTAAAGAAATGTGCTTCTACAGAGGTGTACAAGTACAAGCACAGTTAATAGATCTTATAGTTGTATAAATATTGCTGACCAATTCCCCAAACAGGAGAGTTAAATCCTGTATATTTATATATACATAAATACACACGCGGAGGGATATTTTGTCACGAACATGTAAATAACACATAAGTATCTCTTCATAAACATTAAGTGAGCACCATAAAAATTCCCACTGTAACACCAGGGTATCACACATTTAACAGCTGGCTGAAGGAGAAATGTGGAAGTTTAATGTTAGTGTACAGTGGGAACAAGAGCTGCATGCTCAAAGCACACAGGCAGTTCTCTATGCCTCAGCTTTAGCCTTAACACAAGTCCATCCCCACCGCTTTATAGGCTGCTTCCCGAGTCCAGCATTCCAGGGCCATTTCCAACACATGGGTTAGTGTAGTTTAACGCCACAGGTCTATTTTCTTCACCCTGCTTCCATTTGGGAAGCATTTTTCTCAAATAAAGGGAAATCTATGGCCATCGTTGTCCCAGGTTCACCTCTACATAGACAGCAAGCAGCCACAGAAATTGCTACCACAGGCAAACATGATAACCATCATGAGCATCGTATGCAGGGTGTTGGTTATACTTAACAGAAAATACACACAGTTAAATGCTTCACCATCAATCTCTTCTGAGTTTTCTGCAAGATGTTGCAGAGGTTTTATAAGAAGACTTTGGATAACTGCATAGTTTACAGCAATCAAAATTTGCTGTCTGAAAAAGCTCCCTCTGAGGGCATATCTCTACAACCATTCACAGCGGCACAAATTCACAAGGGCATGAATTACAGTAAAACATATCAGGGAGGAAATTAGGGCGTAGTGACACTCCCCAGTAAAGGAGTTACAATTAGCTTTGTCAACTTGTAGCAGGTTTGAGATTTAGCATTATCTCTATCATGGAAGAGGAGGCAGATGCCGTTAAGAATACAGAGAACACCTGGGGACTCACACTTAAGAGGTTGCTCAAATCAGTTTTTTGGTAGACAACGCCAATGACTGGAAAATACACCTGTGTCAATTTCGCTGACAAACAACGTTAGGTCTGTGAAATATGCTTAAAAAACAGATGAGATTTCCGAGTCTCACGAAACAGCGAACACCCAACACCCGCCCTCTCCAACAAGCGGAGTCACCAAAACCGAGTCACCACTCAGGGGAACCCCAGCTGCTCCCCAGACGCCACGAAGGACTGTCAAAAAGGTGGGGGAAAAAATTCATAAACAGCGCCAGCACACAGCCTGTCCTCACACAAGCAGCCTTCTCCCAAAACACCAAACTCACTTACAGCTTCTTTATAAGTCCACCGCGCGTTGGGTTTATTACTTCTAGTAGGCAGTTTATTGTGGGTGTGTCGCTTGACCAGCAGAGAAACACAACCCGAGTGACTCCAAGCAGAGACCACCACTCCAGAGACCCCGGCCGCCGCAGGGGGCACAGCCCGGCAGCGGCCTCAGGAGCCGCTCCCGCACCTGCGAGGGACCCGGAACGCGCCCCCCGCGCCCCAGCCCTGAGGAGCGCTGAGGGCGCCTCAGCCCGCACCCGGCGCACCCCTCGGCACCACAGCCCCGCGGCGGGGCTGCGGAAAACACCGGCCGGGGCCCGTCGCGGCGGCCCGGGGGGAGATGCCGGAGCCGCGTTACTCCACCTGGGCTCGGCTCCCGCAGCCCCGCCGCCATGCGCGCCTCCGCTCCGCGCACGCGCGCCCGCCCGCGCCGCGACACGTGGCCGGGGCCGGGGCCGGGGCCGGCGACAGCAGCGGCGATGGCGCAGCTCACGGCGCGGTTCCGCACCGAGAACCGCAGGTGAGCGGCCTCCTCTCCCGGGCCGGGGGTGGGTTCGGGAGCGGGTGGCGCGGAGGCGGTAACGGAGCGCTGTGCCCGCAGGTTCGCCGTGGAGGATGTGCCCTTCTCGGTGCCCGCGACCTCCGAGACCACCGACCTCAGCCACCTCATCAACAAGCTGCTGGCCGCGGCGCACGGTAGGTCCCGCGGCGGGGCGGCCCTCGGAGCGTCCCTCGTGTCCCCGGGCCGGGCCCGGCCCCGCGCGGGCTGTCACAGCCGCGGGCCCGCGGGGACGGCGACAGCGACAGCCCGAGCCGGTGCTGCCCCGCTGCCTTGGCCTGGAGCTGCATGTGAAGCGCTGCGGGCACCGGCGCTGCTGGGCGTTCCCGCAGCCAAAGGCTGGAATACTGTGTGTGCCCCGCGCCACAGGCCAGGCTGCCGCAGCACTGGGGATGGAAGTGTTGCCCAAAACCTGGCACAAGAACTAAGGAAACCAGAGGTTTCGTTTTTATAGCAGCCTTTAAGAAAACCTCAGCAGTTCTGTCGGTGCTGAAATGACTAACTTAAAAGCTGATCTGGGGAAAGAGACTTGTCCGACATTGTTGGAAAATCCCATTTTCTATAAGAGGCTGGGCCAGTGGTATTATACCCTGCTTCTTGAACCTTTTGCAAGTTGCTTTCAACCCATGACATTGCAAACACTCTTGAACAGAAAACTGGTGCACAGTGCAGTGCTTCTTGCCAAAATGCAGAGCCTTTGTCATTTATGCCATTACAAAGGGAGAAATATGAACCAAAAGTTCTTAGAATTTTCCTACTGCTGCTACAAATACAGGGCTCTAGCTGGTGGTAACAAGTGGCAAGATCCCTACAGAACAGTCAGGAAGCACCGCTGGGGTTTGATTACACAGAGTTACAGAGAAAATACAATAAGAAGCAAATGACTCTTTAAACCCCCAACAGCAAATTTTTCTTCCTCTTAACTTAAATAATACTGTGGAAGTAATGGGCTGCCCACTTAAAATTGGGAGAAGAAACTAATTGGTTGGGGTTTTTGTTCTTGTTGTCATTTATTTTGGGGTTTGGGGGGTTGTTTATGTTTGGGGTATTTAAAACTCTTCCTGGCTCCATTTTCCTGAACCAGCCACAAAATTAGGCCATTCTTGATGGTATCAAATAAATTGTGACACCTGAACATTGATTTTTCCCAATTTGTTTCAGCGGATCACAAGTATGTGGAATTTGACTTCCTTATCAATGGCCAGTTCTTGCGACTGCCGCTGGTCACACACATGGAAATGGAAAATATTTCCACAGTAAGTCATACTCTGTCTCCCCTTCTTGGGCAGTAGAACACTTTGCCAGTTTACTTCAATGTGATTTAGATATTACACTGTTGGCTAGGTAGACTTCCTTGCTCAGTTTCATTTCTTTCCAGGAGAATTCCCTATATTTTTAAATCCATTATGAACTGCAGTGATTAGAGACTACAGACAGAGCAGTGCAAGGAATGTTATCCAATCTGTTGTCTGTGTACAGTTCAGAGGGGAAATTCTTCTCTTATTCAGTTCATCATTAATACTTTTTTGTCTCCTATGGTGGGGGATAATGGGGATGTTTAATGTTACTTCTAGAAAATGTTGCAGTGTTTTAGACACCAGTTTTGTATTAGTAAATATAGAAGAAGAGGAATTTAAGAAGACTGAAATCACTTCCTTTTGCTTCCAGTTTGCTATTAATAGTAATTTGATAAAAATATGGAAAGCAATGCAATTCTCACTTTTTTTCTAAATGCTTTCATTCTACTGATGTGGTGAAGGACTTGGATACCAAGACCTTTGCTCAATAAACTTGTATACTTGTGCCACACTACAGTTAAATTTTACTGTAGTGATTGAAAAAACCAAAACCATGCTGCATCACTAAATAAGTATTTTGTCTGTGAGCTCAGGAAGAAGTGGTGGAAATAGAGTATGTGGAGAAATACACGGCCCCTCAGCCAGAAGAATGCATCTTCCATGATGACTGGATCAGTTCTGTCCAAGCCACTGAAGAATGGTACCACACCAAGCCAGTTCTAAGTTTTGTCTTGCTTATTCATGTTCCTCCCTGGTATCAAATGGAGCAGTATTTTCTCTTTAATGTTCCCTTGGGTGGGTTTTTTTCCCTCTTTGCTTTATTTTTTTTTAACCTGTCAAGTCAGTCAACTACTTGCTTTTGTAAGCAGTTCACTTGTTATGCTGTCACAACAGTGACTTTTAACACAGGTAGAAAACAGCTAGAGACACTGAACTTGAGATACTGCTTATACAAAAGAACAAAACAAATGCTGTTTAGTATCCTTTTTCTTAAAGAAAAACAAGTTTTCCTCATTACTCTTTTTTGCTTAAACCCTTGACTTCCAACATGGCACCCAGCAACAAATAGAATAGCATACCTTTCTGCAGAGATTTTCCTGAAAAAAAGCCAAGGAGGCATAATTGCCTTTTTCTACTGTATTTTCACATTTATTTCCCAATCAATTAGGTAATGTTCATATATTAAGTAGAGACTTGAAAATGCTTTGAGAACCTCTGGCAACATACTAAAACTAACAAATTAAGTTTTGAATTATGTAAATTATAGAAGGGATCTTAAGTCCCACCAACCAGAACATGCAGTACTCTCACTGCTTGTCTTTCTAGACTGTACTCTTGGCATCCCTGTTGCCAGGCTTTAATGAAGCTTTGCTCTGTAGCAGAAAGATATTTTTTCCTCTTTGATGCTATTTCTTTTAAACCAGTTACTCTGTTAATAGTTTTGCCAAGTTTCTGGTTGAGGCTTTATTTCATAAAAACTCTTGTTAGTGTTAAAGACAAAGATGTTTCCAATGCTGTACCCTGTAGGATATTAACTGGCTGCTATGACCAGACTGCTCGGATCTGGTCTGTGGAAGGCAAATCCATCACGACAATAGCTGGGCACACAGAAGTAGTGAAGGATGTGGCGTGGGTGAAGCAAGGTCAGTATGTATAGCAGGGGAATAGTAGTCGTTTGATTTACTGGGGGAGAAATGTTAGCATTCCTTAACTATAAATATTTAAATGTCTAAATGTAACTATTTCAATCTCTGTCAGTGGTGTAAGAAATTAAGTCATGGTGTGCATAAAATAGTCCTTTGACAATAATGAATATAGTTACTTTTAAGATGGTTGCTGTCTATCCAGCTTGCAGTCTCCATTAGCAAATACTGGTGTATATGTAGTTATATAATTGTACTCACAGGGTAACATGATATAAACTGAAGTACGTATGAGTTTCTGTCTATCTGCCATTTCTTCTAGGATTAGAATAATTATTTATAAATACTTTGGAAAGCTGAGTTGGGCATGAGTGTAACTTTTTTCTTCCTCAGATAGTTTATCGTGCCTGTTACTCAGTGCTTCCATGGACCAAACTGTCCTGCTCTGGGAGTGGAATGTGGAGAAAAACAAAGTGAAAGCCCTTCACTGCTGCAGGGGACACGCTGGCAGTGTTGAGTCTGTGGCTGTTGATTGTACAAGAACCAAAGTGAGTGACTTCTGGAATGAAACCTTGTGTTTTGGGATTTAGCAGCCTGTACCTCAGAAATCCTGGTTTTGTCCTTGCATGGGTATTCATCATCATCATTTTGTGACACAGTGATAATTTTCCAGTCTTGTTATAAGTAGTGGTTATTGAGGATTAAGAGTGTCACATCAATGCTAAGCTGTACAATCACAGAATCATTTCGTTTAGAAAACAAGTTAAAATTTAAAGTGTATTTTACTTTAAATGCATGAGAATTATATGCATTTCCAAATTTGACCTAAATTTTTGCAGTGGTTTTGGTGGGAAAAAAATTTCCAGAGTTTTTGGAAAAAGCAGGTGGTAAAAAGGTTCTTTCCCTTCACCGAGAAATTCAACAGTTATGAGCACTCCCGCCAAAGGTAGAGTCATTGCCCAGGTTGACTCACTATCAGACAGGTTAAAGTCAAACTTTTTAGTGCTGAAGGAAAAAGGTATTTTGTAGATATTTTTCCTACAAAGGAAGTAAAAAGAATAATTTGATGTATGCCAAACATTCTGGGGGGGATTTTAGGAGCCCAGCACTATTATTTGTGTGTTATAACCCATTTTTCAAGCAGGTATCTCTTTCAAGGTCTGTCTGGATCAACATTTAACGAATATTTCTGTTCACACAGTTCTGCAGTGGATCCTGGGATAAGATGTTAAAGATCTGGTCTGCAGGTAAGATGTAAGTTTGTAAGGGGATACATCACTATGCTGAGTTACTGGTTTGGTTAATTACACAGTTTCAGATGTTGTTATCAGCTACATGATGGTTGTAGGCACCATAAATACAGGGATTTGCTTAATTACTTACATGGAGATGGAACTCAAAATCTGTAGCTCAAGTCTGCTTGTCTTCTGTCCCAGTACCTACAGATGAAGAGGATGAAATGGAAGAAGCAGCTAACAGACCACGGAAAAAGCAGAAAACAGAACAGCTTGGACTAACAAGGGTAAGATGAGCTCTGGGTTTGTCCAGAATTTTTCTTTAGAAGTGTAGCCACAACAAATAACTTCTCTTTGCTAAAGGTGACTTTAAAACTGCTGGTATGTCTCAGAATGATCAGACTC